ATCTCTGGCAACTGAGACAGGCAGAGATGAAAAACTACTTTATACACAGTTCAGTGATATAAACTACCCAAGGAAAGCACTACACACACTTTCATCTTGAGAGAAAGCCTTCCTCACTTTGTACTTTGTTTACCTTAAGAAAGAAATAGAATAAGGTATGAAAGAACTGCCTTCTATATGGAAAAAAATAGCAATAATTTGTATTTATAACACACCATTGCTCCTGAAAGACCTCAAAATACTTTAAGTGACAGCTGTGTTCAGGGATTATTTCAGTTACTACTGAAGCAACAGGCTACTCTAACAGGGCAGAGTAGTCAGAAAGTTGCTTTGTAATAACACTCTACATCATGAAAAAACATTCTTAACATTAAAATAGCCTCACAGTCGCATGTCAAGTCGTGGAATTATTCTTATTTCCTTTGCAGACAGGGAACAGGAGTTAGAAAGCAATGGAAGCAGTCTGAGACCAGAGAGTCAGGACTGCAGCTCAGCAACTGCTTGTTTCCAGACCAATGAATCTTGCTTTCTGCTCTTCACCTCCGTAACCATTTCAGGTGAAGCTGCAGGCTACTGCTGCAGAATGCAGCTACCATCCATTGTGTCGTCTGGTACATCTCCAGCTCTTTTCTCTCACAGTCCTACTACCTGAGAAACACTTGGGGCTGGGATTTCCAGCGGGAATCTGGCAAAGCAGGGATTTGAATCTGGCTTATCAAGACCAAAGTGATAGTCCTATCTATGCTGCTATGGTTGGCTTATTGGCAGCACCCCAGCACAGCATGGTGGGTTTTTTAGCCAGTTGAGAAATCAAAGTCACCTTGATAACCACAGAAGACCCGGATACTGAAATTACAGCCTAATGGTAAGGGCTCAAGGCCAGGTTGGACGGGGCTTTGAGCAACCCTGTCTAGTGGAAGGTGTCCCTGCCTGTGGCAGAGGGGTTGGGACTAAATGGGCTTTAAGGTCCCTTCCAACCCAAACCATGCAGTGATTCTATAATAATATTACAGACCTAAGAAACAGTACATCAAATCCCATCTCTCAGGCTGACTGAGCACACAGTGCATGACCACGCAGCGGGGCTAGCAAGGCTGTTGTAGTTTGTTCTGAGAATTCTTTTACCATGTCTCTGCTCTGCAGCTGGAATTGGCTATTCTCTGTGGACTACTGCGAGAGGACTTTACACCACAGCAACATCAACTTTTTTGTCTTTGTTCCTTGTCTCTGCGCAGAGTACAGAGAAAGCAACTTCATGCTGGTATTGTGCTTTGAGTAAGCAAGAACCTTTTTCCAACCACATTGAAAGCTGTTGCAACAGCACTAAGTGTTTTCTGTCAGCAATCTTCCCCACACCCAGAGCGGGGTCCTTTTTGGGGTGGCATGAAGCTGCTATCAGATCATATTTACTGACATTTTGGAAAGAACGAGTGTATGTGAACGGAAGCTTTTCTACAAGGCAATGCTGAGTGCTGAGATACCTTGAGATTAGGTGCCGAAGCAGGGTGAGACCTCTCAGGGTGTCCATCGGTGGTTTTGCCTTGGGAATGGCCGTCTCCCAGCTGGGTCACTGGTGCCCGGGTCAGCTGCCCCAGCCTTGGGGGCTTCTGCAAAAGGCCTTTCGCCACACCATGCCAGCGACTGAGACTTGACATTGCCAATCTGTAGAAACAAATCGCGAGTTAATGATTCAACGCCTTAAATACCTCAGCAAAGAACAACAGAATGAGAGGCCGCACAGAATTGGCTCACATGACTCTGTCCATTTTCCCCTGTGACTTTTGCGGGCGGTGTTCACGCAGCGTTGCCTCCCCAGCCCACACCTTGCTGCAGTGCAGTGCTTTGGTTACAGGTAGCATCCGCTCCCACTCACACAGGTGAGAACTTACTACAAGTCTGCCTTTCTCACACCCTTAGAGTGCAGAACCTTTTTCTGGCAACAGAGAGAAAAAGTAACTAGACAAAACCTGCCTCTCTCCTTTAGAAAGTTTCAACAAAAAGCAAAATGTTTTCAAAACTTCATTAAATAAAAATGACTTCTCTTAAAGTAGAATACAAAACTGGCATAACACTGTTAATGAGTTAAATCCCTAATTTTTTTCTCTTGCAACCACAGCACCACATCACACACAAGTCCACTGCAATGAATTTTTTTTTTTTTTTTGACTAAAGAAAAAATCCCAAAAGATATACTTTGCTTGAGAAATAATTTCTCCCAGAGAGCCACTTCCTATCAAAATTTTAATATTTTCAGTGGAAACCTAATTGTCTGAGAATAGAAATAGTTCTGCTGGGAAATTCTGCTGTCCAGTAAAGACAGCTCAGCTCCCAGTTCTCTGTTCTCCAGAGACAAGTTAACCAGCATGACTGCCTCATGATGCACTCTGAGGCTGAAGTTGATCATCTGTTGCATGGGAATTCTCTGTCACAGTAGAAGGTGCTATGGGAGATATAGTCTAGTCGCAGAATTAGTCTGGCACTGCAGAAATGTCAAATAATAAAGTTTTGAGTGCCTACGAAGTAATCCTCGCTGGAGAGCCCTGGCAAATGATTTAGTCTAGACAGAGCTAAGTGCCATGTTTCTAGTGAGTGGCAGAAAGGGAGCAACCACGGGCTGGGGCTGGCATCCTGCCTCCGGGGCACCCAGGGCAGGAAGAAATGCTACATCTGTAAAGTTTCCAAAACCTTAACAGTGTTTGCGTATGAGAGGTGCCATTTGCTCTCCAGTCAGCTGAAGTGTTTAGACCTTCTCCCCCACTAAATGCAGTCATGGATTAATTTTGTGTTGCAGCACTAATTATTAACAACGACAACGTCTTTATTGTTGTTAATATTTTATTTATACACCTGTAGTAGGTATTTTAACCTTTGAGGACCCCAAACACTCCCAAGCTTTCAGAAAACAGGATTTGCTTCAGTCTCCACTGCTGCAGTGCTTGTTCTTTCATTTATTTATTTGCCTGTGTTCTCATGAGTTAATTATTTCAAGTCAGCTTCATGAGGGGAGACTGCAGCCTATCTTTTCAAACCTTGTATACATGGCATGGTGTGAGCAACATTCCTGGATGCAAATCATCTGCTGCTTGGTATCACTGAAATCTTACTGGAAGTGTCACTCCCAGGTGAACTCAAATAACACTAGGGCTGCTCAGCAGAACACATCAGGTAGCAAACTCTACAAAACATATACAAAGCACAATGAGGCAATCCAATTTTAAGGCAAAGGGCCAGAAACCCCCTGACATAGGCTGGCAAGGTATTGCAGCAGTCTTCCTGAAGTGGCTTAGTCCCTGAAGTAACCAACAGCTCCTCTAGAGTCTATACATCCCACATACGTCAGAGCATACGTTTCCTTCTCTTAAAAATCAGGACATGGGGGAAGCAATGGAGGGGATAGTACACGTCCTTGTTACATTCCTGTTGGGGTGGCTGGGACAATCCTGGTTCACCCAGTTTAAGACAGAAGGATGACAGCTCTGTCCCCCTGCTCTAAAGAAGAAAGTTAGGCACCTAGAGGACTTCTTCATTAGGTACTCACATAAAGCTGGCTAGATCATACCAGCGTGTTTAGTCTGAGATGACAGGCATCCATTCTAAAGGTATTCCATATTCACAGTGTCTATTATGAACTAATTCACAACCCACAGGCAGGCAGGAATCACTTTGCTTCTCCTGCTGAAAAATGGCCATCACTGCAATGGAAAAGGACAGCTCCTTAACATTTTATGGTAGTTCTACTCAGCAGGAGAGAGGGCAAGGCTGGGGATAAGATCCTCTGGTGTATTCACTAGAAATTCCAGCTGGACTTTGGAGGTTGGGAAAATGTAGTCACTTGGCCTAGAGCTGTGACAAGACTCCCAGATTAGCACGCTGAGCCAGACTGAAAGATTGTTTTTCCCACATGGAACTGGTATTTCAGTTAACGCTTTGGAGACATAGCCACTGCGTGCAGTGCTCAGATCTGCTATCAGGAATAAATACTTAATGATGACATTGCCAGGTCCAAGAAGAAAGCTGGCCTGTGTCAGTTTGCCAGCACCAGCAGGTCTGGTCCCTTTTCTAACATGTCCTTCAGAAAGATAAAGTGGGCATGGAAGACAGCATAAATCAGATTCTTTTTACACCTACCCCTAGGGCTAACTGGCTGCTTTAGGCAAGTTTACATTCTTGCTATACTTACAATTGATTCAACAGAGAGATAGTGCTCTTTGGCAGTCCTTCATTCTGATATAATTATTATATAAGCAGCAAGACAGGGAGACAGGACACTGCAACTATCATCCCATCGCAACAGGCACATTCCTGCTCTACCCAGGGCAGCTAGTGAAGGGCAAATGAGCTGTACTCTCCAAAGGTCTCAGTAGTAAAGCAGCCAGCAGATAATACACCATGAGGCTAAGTGTTATAGTTTGCTTTTCTAATAAAAAAGGATTTTATAAGGTATTAGGAATTGGATATTTCACATACTTTGTTCAGAGAAATTTCAACAAGAAAAACACAGAAAGGACTGAAAGAAGATCTGAGTTTTGAAAAGACCTGAACAGGACTGAAAAAAATAATCCTTCAACTCTGTATCCCCCTTTCTTCTACCTAAGCTGCTTAGAACTTCATCTGAATCCCTAACAATGATGTATTTCTAACAAAAGCCACGGGTTCAGTGGGTCATTTTTCATTTACACTGTCTCCCCCTAATGATTTGGTTCCGCCAACTTTGTTCATACATCCATTGCTGCGAGGGAAGAAATACGTGTGCAGCCACAGATATCAGAACTTCAGTGAAATAGCAGGTGACAGAACTTTGTTCTTGTCAGGTCCCTATCAAACGTTAAACACCTTCCCCTTCACTCACTGATCCCCTCAAGTGCTGCACGTGGCTGAGATTAAAGCCATTTCCCTGGATTAACGTGCTCCGCACACAGCGTTGTACAAAGGATTTACCCAAAGAACAATTAAAGTGCCTGGTCATTATCCCCCACATTCAAAATTTTTCAGAACAAAACAACTGAAAGCAAGTAAGAGCAAGGAGAAGCACTCAATTACATTTCTGAGTGAGCAGAGGAACTCCAGCTGGTATGTAGCAATCAGGAACTGTAATGATTGTTGTTACCTACTTGCAGGAATGCAGAGAAGGGAAAAGGTAGAAAAGTATCTGTCAACAACTAACTTTCTGGGCATTTATCAAATATTCTGGGGGGAGGGACTGATAGATTAGTTCAGAAAGATCAGGAATTTGAGAATGGAAATCTAAAAGTTTTTGCTTACTCTAGCAATCACTGTGAAATCCAAGACTGGAACAGGGAAGTGGAAACTCCTTGTTTTCATGGCTAACCTTGACATGTCATCTTTATTCATTGAGTAGTTTTATTGGTAAATGTCCCACTGTTTAAGAATACAAGCAGTGCACCTTCTATAAACAGGTTATGCCTGGGGACAGCAGCAACTTTTCTAACTCCTGCAACACAGCATTTCACATGCAGGACAGACAGCAATACAGTGCTTATTTGGGCCCAACAGGAAACATATCCTGGTAAATATTAGCTAAGATGTAGTTGGGTTACCTTTGCTGACTTAAAAACGAAGGGACTTTACATTCAGTATTATATAACTTGCTTTACAGAAGCTTCTCTAGACAGTATGGGGTATATTCACAGCTTGCTTACACAGGAGGGAATTTTTCTCCTGCTGAAGCAAATCAACACGTTTCAGTTGTGTGTAAGAACCAGAAAGATTTGTTGAAGGGATAATTCCTTTGTCATCCTGACAGAAGAAGGGTGTCATTCTTCTGCCTCTTTCATCTACTTGGTGGTAGCTTAAGCGGGACTTGTAAAACAGCCTCTGAAGAAGGCATGTAAGATTTAAAGAGGCAGGAAAAGAATGGTAAAGTTGGGGATCTATTTTCAAGGTTCCAGTCTGACAACCATGCTGATTAGCTCACTCTCATCTCTTCTGTGATTATTATCTGTTGACTTGTATGTCCAGATCATTGGTCAAATTTCCAAAAGTTTCCAGCAAAGACTAAATCAGACCAACTGGAATTGTGGTAGCAATTTATCACAATCCCTCACATGAGAAGACCCGTAGATTAGAAACCAGAATTTTTCTTACGATTTCTCCCAAGATCTATTCACTAGGATTAGGAGCACGTCTGCTGTAGCTCACCTGTACCAAAGGTATGTGCGTGCAGCTCGGATGGACAGGGTAAGACATGCCAACTTTTCACACACCATGACTATCACGACAGAATTACTGCAGAAAAGGACAAAATCAATGTCCATGGCAGCTGAAGCTGCATGTTTTTGCACAATAGGGGTGTTAGAAGTTAAATACTAGAAAGCTACTTTGAATAGTGTGTTGCACATTTTCTTTTTGCTCAAACTATGCATTAACACGAACATATTAAAAGTACGTCAGGAAAATAAAACTTGAGGATTGTTTAGAAAGTGACCTCATTCCCCCCTTCCTCGGATATGTGCTTAAAGTTTAACCTCTGTCAGCTATGTTCACAACCAATAAATTCAAGAGCAGAAGTTTAAAATAGTGAAAAGTTACATTACAACAAAAGTGACCTTCATTTTTTTCATCCTAATTTTAATGAGCAGAGGAGAATGGCGATTTCAGTCTAAGTGCAGAAAGAAGGCAGCTGTATGAGAAATTCATTCTCAGGGCAGTTGATACAAACAAGGACATTAAATAATAGAATTTACTTCTGGCTCTACAAAATGTAATTAATTTGTACTTAGACTCCACTGATAATTTAATATTTTCCCTTTGCTATTGATTATCACATCTAAAGGATTTCTCTGGCCCCCAGAACTACGTCTAATGGAAGTATTTGTGTTTTGGCTAACTAAAACATTAGGTAGCTTCTCTAAATTAATCTAGATGCCTTATGGAGTAAAGGAAAGACTTCAGCAAACAGCAGTTTGTCCCTTCATGAAATGATTGTGGTGACAAGTGGCCCCTCGGAGGGTGCACATGCTTCCTTTAGTGTCAATCTGGAGCGAGCTGTACAACTGACATAGGCAATTATCTAACATAAATGGCTGAAGTTAAATGAGACAAATTTCATGCTAAACTCACATTAGTCTATCTAATCCACCACATGCCTTTGGATTATCCCCATTTTGAATATATGAAATCAGAGCTTAAAGTAGCTAAACAAGTCTTGTCACAGATATTTAAACATATTATTCCCACCTAAAATTGAGTGAAATCTGAGCAGTCTATTTGATAACAATTTGAGCCCAAACCTTTTGATCCCAGCCAAAAAGGAAGCCTGGGTGGGACAGTGACATGATGCAGGGTTTCAGGTAAGTGTTCTAGCATCTTTAGCTTACCTCTACAAAAATAATTCCTAAGGGTTGTTTTAGTGACACCTTCTATTGGGAAGGGTAATGCAGCAGTAAAATACCTAGCAAACAATTACAAAGCCCCCAGCATCTCCTGATCTGAGATGCACTCTTCAAGTCCAGGTCCTTTTAAAGCAAACATCGTCCATAGAAGCTGCAGGTCCCCAAAACACTCAGGTCTCTGTGTGGCTGGGGACACTATATCCTTAGAGACCGGTAAAGTCAGAACATCCTTTGTGTGAGTCAGCAGTGAGAATGTTTTCCCCTTGAGTTCTTAATTTGAGTTGGTTTTAAGCTGAAGCATTTTGCCTCCAAGAAATATGACTACAGTACATTGTTAAATTCTGCTACATGTGAATAATTTTGTTTAACAAAGGTTAAATAGGCACACAAGGGTACACTTCCCCAGGGTGGGTTAGCACTGTGCACTAATCAAACATTCTCTCTGGTGAGAAAACACATTTTATGCTTGAAGGGTGATCAACTCTGAAATCAATTCTTTCTAAGAACATTCCTAAGTTTTGGGTCAAAATCTGACCCTAGATATGTCTAGGAACATAACAGGCAATCTCCAACTCAGTAGTGGATCAACCTCTCTGCACACTCAGGTGTGTGAAAAACTTTAAGACTGGGAACTTTCCAAATATAGGTTAATCCAAAATCCAGTCTGAACACATCTGTACTATTTTCTCCATCAATGACTCTTATTCCCTGGGTCTCTTGTTAATTTTGTCCTTTATGATTTGCCATGTTAACAGGGACACAGAGCTACACTTTCCTTTAAGAATGGATTTCAGAATCTGATCCTTTAGTCTTAGCATCACCTTTGTGCTGAGTAAACATCCAGTTCTCCTGCTGATTAAATTTAATCTTCTTTTATTGTCACCTAAAAGTCCTATTTGAGATGCTTTTGTGATTCCAGAGTTTGAAACTCACACCTTCAAACCCAGTCTACAGCTATGCTAAAAATAACTGCATAGCTGGCTTAATTATGCCTTCTGCTTCTACTCTTTATTTCTTCCTAGATTTTCTATTCACATCACATCCAGGGTCTCCTAATGCCGATGTACATGCACACACTTGCATAGACAGGCCCCACTCCATCTTCTAAAAGGCAGAAAGACCTCCTCAAAACCCAGCCACTCCCCACCAGTTTTCCCAACGTACGTCCACGACAAAGTTACTTGCTTCTCTATGCCACCGCTTACTCAACTAAACAGAGGACAATATTAACAGTTGACTGATTTGAAGTTTACAGAGCAAGCCAAAATGATTAGTTTTTGCTGGAATGCTCCTTAGGCAAGAAATTTAGTTTCCTCATATACTTCCTGGAACTTTTCCCTGCCAGCTGATATGCAAATTATATAACTTTTTCCTAAACAAGTGTCTTGAGACTTCATCAGAATTTACTTCTCACCTGCAGGTATAAACAAAACCCACATTACCCATAATGTTTATTATTTCTTATTCTCCAGAACATTATCAGCAGAGGGAATGTTCAACTACCTCCGGAAACGCTTTACCAGCCACATCAGAGAACGTAGCCGGCGAAGAGCAAGGCTTGTCTCTAAAGATGGAAGGTGTAACATAGAGTTTGGCAATGTAGAACAGTCAAGGTTTGTCTTTTTGATCGATATATGGACAACTATCCTGGATCTCAGATGGAGATACAAAATGACTATCTTCATTTCGGCATTCTTAGGCAGCTGGTTTCTCTTTGGTCTCCTCTGGTATGTTGTGGCATACATACACAAAGATCTTCCAGAATTCAATCCTTCCATAAATCACACCCCCTGCGTTGAGAATATCAATGGTCTGACTTCAGCTTTCCTGTTCTCCTTGGAGACCCAGGTAACCATTGGGTATGGCTTCAGATGTGTCACAGAACAATGTGCCACTGCCATTTTCCTGCTCATCTTCCAGTCTATCTTGGGGGTGATCATCAATTCTTTTATGTGTGGTGCCATCTTGGCCAAGATATCAAGGTCCAAAAACCGGGCTAAGACTATCACCTTCAGCAAGAATGCTGTCATCAGCAAACGTGGTGGGAAGCTCTGCCTCCTTATTCGGGTGGCAAACCTCAGGAAGAGTCTGCTGATTGGGAGTCACATCTACGGAAAACTTCTGAAGACCACCATCACCCCAGAAGGAGAGACAATCATTTTGGACCAGGTCAACATAGAATTTCTAGTTGATGCTGGCAATGAGAATCTCTTCTTCATCTCCCCATTAACTATTTATCATATCATAGATAAGAACAGCCCATTCTTCCACATGGCAGCAGAAACCATTCTGCAGCAAGATTTTGAATTGGTGGTGTTTTTAGATGGCACTGTGGAAGCCACTAGCGCTACCTGTCAAGTGAGGACATCCTACATCCCAGAAGAGGTGCTCTGGGGTTATCGCTTTGCTCCCATTGTGTCCAAGACCAAAGAAGGGAAATACAGAGTAGATTTCCAGAACTTCAGCAAAACAGTGGCTGTGGAGACTCCCCACTGTGCCTTCTGTCTCTACAATGAGAAAGAAGCTAAGGCCAAAGAGAAGAAAGGTTATGACAATCCTGGTTTTGTCTTGTCAGAAGTTAGTGAAACAAGTGACACAAAAATGTAGTTCCAGATATTCATGGGACTATATTTTTTTTCAGAATTAATTCAATCTTGAGAGGATTAATAACTTAGTAAAACAAAAAAGAAACACAGGTCGGTTTTTACTCTAAAACAGCATTTACCTTCTCAAAAGCCTCAAATCAAAGAGGAACAGAATATTAGTGATCTCCAGAACACTATTTAACTATGCTATATATATTTCATAGAATATATATTTTTATACCTGTGGGACATTTTATGAAGCTGCTACGTTGGAATGTCCAACTTACTTAAGTTCCCAGAGGCATGCAAGTCTGTTAAAAAGCCTGAGAAGATGGAGAGAAAGTTTAGGACATGTTAAAGATACACAGTTCTTGGCATAAGCACATGAAAAGGGGAGACAGAAATCAAAGCTAAAGAAACCTAAGTGACTTAGGAGCCAAAACCTCAAAAAACATGTGTTTCTGATTGCCAAAGTCCTCTATGAAAGCAGACTCTCTGGCTCCAGAACACTTGAGCACTTTTGAACATTTTGAAACAATTCCTTCTTTCTTTGGGGCCAGTACATCTACAGAAATGGAGCATTAAGGGATGGTACATGCTTAGGAAGCTAGAAAAGACAAAGCTTGGGCCATCCTGTTGCATCTAGAACTCTGTAAAATGTCACTTCTCTCCTGTGAAAGCCTTTGATTCCTTTCAGGGAAAGGGAGCCAAATGGAAATGAAAAATGAAAAAACAAGGAGAAGTAGAGACCCATTATGGGAGAAGAGTAATGTTGCAGCTGTTTTACCCTTCAGATACTCTTCTCTCCACTTCCCCAGGAGCTGGCTAACTGTGAAATTAGGAAACATCTGAAGAAAACTGTCCAGAAAGAAGGTGAGCCACAGTAGGGAGATGAACACATCTACTGCTTCACACCTGGCAGAAAAGCAATCCACTGGGAGAAGAGAGGAAATTCTCAGCTCTAGAGGTATTCTTAAAAAAAAAAAAATACACAATGCAAACACAGATTATCTTTTCCTTTGAAGCATGAAGGTCTTGTTAAAACAAAAACACAGCACAGGAGCCTCCCACCAACAGTGGGCTTCTGATTTAGTTCCAAACCGTTCATCTCACCACAGCAAAATGTGCATCCCTACAGGAAACAAGTTCTGCTCAGTGGTGGTGAGCATTTCCCAGGGTATGATTTTTGACATTTAAGTTTCAATTTCAACAAGAATATTCAATAACTTTTTGGTGACTTTTCACTTCCTTAGAGCTTCCCCCCTGCCCCCAGTTCTTTTGCTGAGAGTTAAAGTGGCAGACCAAAGAGAAAGGTTTTTGGGATCTCTTCCCAGTGATGTAATTCAGCTCAGCTATTTCCAACACTGTGGTAAAATGGAAGCATCTCTAACAGCTGCTGGACTGAGTGGTTTCAAAAGAAGGGGAGAATTAAGTCAGTCAAATGATGACAAGACAAAGTTATTTTGCAAATGAGCATAATGTGAGTATGGAAATCAAACTCTGGGAACCAAGAGTGTTCAGGTCTTGGTCCCAGTGTAGTATCAACTCCTTTGTTGGTTCAGAACAAATCACTTTAGTATCTAGCTCAGATTTGCCATCGTTAACACGGGACATAAAGTACTTACACTGTACAAAGAGCAATGTTATGAACAATGATGTCACTAAAGCACTTTAAAAGCCAATTCTCAAAGGTCTCAATCTTTCCTCTCTTCAATGCACCATTGTTACACCCTTCTTCACTTCTAGATGCAAAAGTCAGCACAGAAAGTTCTGTTCTCATCACACATAGAATTACTAAAAATGGCTGCACCATGGCTAGAACTATGAAATGCTAGAACAGCCAGCCAAAACCTTCAAGGTAATTCACAGATATTACCCAATGTTTTAAGTGCAATGCTTTTGTAACCTTGCAAAATAACATTGCCAACTGTGAAAATATTTCTACAGCATCTGGGCCCCTCTAACAATGAGCGTATCTCGGATTGTCTGCTTGGAAGGACAGTTGTTTTATCCTCCACTGAACGGCCCACTGAAGCACAAACAGCGAGTGATTAGTGGCCACTCAGAGAAATCCAGGAGGGAGCAGGGAAGTGAAATGAAGTCTCAAGTGTCCCACACCTGTCTGAACTTTGACTGTGCTGCTCAGTCCTTTCATAGTTGTGGCTACATTTCCTTTAGAGGTTTCCTGTATGGTTGCCCTGTGTGTAACTTCCCTAGTAAGCAGCACTGTCAGTATTCAAGGCTTACAAGTTATATCTCTCACCCCTCAGAGAAGAGATGCACCAAAATGCCCTTAATAGAAGTACAAAGATAATATTCACTGTACAAAATAAACAAATCAATAGGAAATCCATTTAAAAGGTCAAACGCAGCTATGCAATGAGGAGACAGGACAGATTCCTATTTTCTTTAAGTAAAGCTGGTTTGGGATGTTAGTGCTTGCAGGGGGGTGGTGTGTATGTAAATCAAATGCTACTCCAGTGCCTGTCCAAGAGGTGATATACATCCTCCAAAGTTTAAAAGGTCCCCCAAAAACGTGCTTTCAGGCACTGCCCTTGGAGAGCCACCTCAAAATCCTATACCTCCGAGTTCTTCATGGCACAGCTTGCTAGCCTTTTGCCCTGTCTCTACAGCACAAGCGTGAGGAGGTGTTACTCCATGCCTGGAAGTACTAAGCACTACCACAACTCAAACAGAAGATACTCGGTCTCACTGCAGGGATGATTACCTGTTGCTCACTCTATTCTGGCAGTCACATCTACCTCAAAAGCTGGCTGTGCTGCCTGCAGTAAGGGAAGGGTGATTGTATCCTTCTGTGTGTTTTGGTGTTGCAGAGTGGGGACTGGCTACTGCACCGAGAAGATACGAGGGGGGACGTACCCAAAGTTGACATGGCTGAGCTACCGTAGAGCTTAGAGAGGGATCATACTGGGACCTAAATAGGAATCTCACACTGGAACCCTCCTCCCGTGAGCCTCCTGGTGATTGTCACTTGAGGAACAACGGCCTGGCAGTCCCCACCTGCCAGCCCCCAGCAAGCAGGAGATAGAGCACTGCAGTCAGAGCTCAGCAGCTGGAGAACAATGAGTGGAATTTCCTCTTTCTGTCCAGAGAGGGCTGTTTGTCACCAGAGATAAAGACCCAGGGCAGGGAAAGAAGGTTATCAGGAGACATACTGCACACAGTGCCACTCAGGACAGACTCCATAGGAAATCTATTTTGGGGGCTGTCACCCCTACTGCCATTAAAAGAAAGTTCAGTAAAGAGGATGAAAATAAATTTAATCTTGCTGAGCAGAAGTGGCTGGAGGGAACCACAGACCTGATACTGGAAAACAAAGACTGGCTTCTTTACCCGTGACACTATTTAATTTTTACATCTCCACAGCACTCTCCTCACTGTTCTCTTCTCCCTGTCTGCCTGTCCATCCAGTCTGCAGGCTACCGAGACTGCCACAGCCACAATTAGTCCTTTCCACAAAGTGGAACATGTAACAGGGGCCACCAGCCTAGTCAATACAAAAGCAAAGCACTGAGAAGAAAGTCTTGTCTCTTCAGGAGAATTTAGGCCATGTACTTATTGCTGGATTAAGGCCTAAAGGATTTAGCTGTGAGAGTGTTAGCCAAGCAGCTAGGCTTGGGAATAATGTGTCTGCACTAAACTTAATTTATCTTCTCATTTCACAAACAACATGTTTCTTCTACTGTATTTATTTTAAACATTCATTCAAGCTGTGCATAATATTTCAATCATTTTGAAATAGATTTACCCTCCTGCTGGCAAATGAATAAGGCATCCTGCTGATTGCTGAAGAAAGTGCCATGAATTAAAATAACTGCTTTTAGTAAACTGACATGTGCTGGTTAGCTGTCTCCACACACTCTTTGGTAGTAACTGGTGAAAAGAGACCCCTAAATAATAAAAAACCAAACCTTGGCAAACTGTTTAGATACTCATACTGACTTGCACTGTCAGAATGTGGCAGACCACTTCTAACTAGCTCCCAGAAACTGCCTGGATAACTTCTGCATGTACAAGCTTCCTTGTAAACTCAACTACTCACCCATAAACAAGCCAGCAGCGTGCAGAGCCCTGACACCAGTGAGAGCAGCTGAGGTGTCGCAGCCTTTTCCCTCTCCCCAAGCAGCAAACTGATGTGGCTAGACTCATGCAAATTCAGCTGGGAAGAGCCTTTATTTCCCCTTCCCTTTCATTTTGGCCCCTTCAATTCACCCTCACGTTGAACTGGCACGGTGCTGGCCCAATTCCTGCTTCCCACACAAGCAGGGAGAAACCACAGCAAAAGGCAATGAATGAGAAAAGAAGCCCTGCTGCAGCAGGGACAGGAGAAACTCAGCAAGCTCCTAAACCCTCGGGCAAACCTGTGCCTACAGCTTCTTGCTGCAGCCTGGGGAACCTCAAGACACCACCATCACTGGCCCTAAATCACTTATGCAAGAGTGAGGAAGGCTAAAGCCCTCTCTCCATGGCTGCTAGAATACACAGTATGTTTTCCTGAGGCCAAGTTGACATTCCTGTGGTGGAAGCATCTGCCTGGGGAAGCTTACAACTTGAACAAACTCATTGCTGCACAAGACAGGCATAAATTCTCCCTGCTGCAGGGCGGTGGACAAGCAAGGGGAGGCTGGAAACAAGACAATCTCGCTTCGCATCTCGATTTACACGCCGCTAGCCAAGCTCAAGCACAGAAAGTATCGGAGCCTTTGCTTTCCCGGGTGATGCATCCCAAGCCAGCTCTGCAGGGGGCAAAGATCCCGCCTTGCTCTCTGATGCCAGCCCCTCCAGAGGCAGGCTGGGGTGCTGGAGCCCCCGCAGGGGTGCTGCCAGAGGCACCCCAGCGGTCCCCTGCGTGTCTTCTGTCCCGCTGCCGCAGGATGGCAGTCCTTCCCTCCAGATCGTCCGCACACGCGGCAGCCCTGAACTTCGCATTGGCAGCGCAGCAAACTCCACGGGGCGAGCTATTGCAAGCTTGAAAGCGCAGCTCAAGGTTTTATTGGGACTGTTCCTTATTTTATTACACAAAGTTTAATGCATTTAGTGACTTATTTTTGGCATGAGCACTGCTAGCTGGATATATTTAGCCACTTCACAGAAGTGTTGGGAGACTTAATTCACTGCAATGAATTCAGAGGTGATGTGTAAGTGGAGGGCTGGGGGCTGTAAACATCACGTCTGCAGTGGCACCTAAAGCACCCTTAACAGAGCCTGCAGTAGGTGGGGTGGGGTAGTAACAGCAAGGCTGGGTCTGGGGACACCTATATTCCATATGCAAAGCTGTACTGTAACTTCAACCAAGTCACTGCTCTCCCCTTCGAGCCTCAGTTTCCCCAGCTGTTAAAAAAAAAAAAAAAAAGGGAACAACACAGGCCACCTTGGGGAAGCTTTGAGTTCTAGCTCTGTGTTAGTTTTGCAACAGTGCCCGAAAGCATCTGTTGAGCTGAAGCCCCCCCTCCGATTTGGAAGTGCTCCTGGTACATTACAGAGCCTACAGAAACTCACGCAAAGGCTTCGCTGCCACTGTAGCGGTGTTTGTAAAACCATGATATCACTTGACAGTATCTGGAAGGCCAAATTACGCCCCTTTGTGCTCCTGTGCCAGGAGCTTTGCAAACACCACCAAAGGATCCTGAAGGCCATTAATCCCCACAGGGCTACTTCTCCAAACCAAGCAGGCAGACCACCAGCCCAGAGCCTCTGATTTCTTTTACCTTAACACTACAGGTCTCAAGGGTGACAGAACACCCAAGGGTGGGGTTCAGGTTGTTACAGGTGCCATCTGCTAACACTCACAGCACAACCTCCTCCAGCAGCTACAGGGAGACACTTAGAAAACTGACCTTGCACTCCTCCAGGGCTGGAAATGCCGTTTGTCCCCACGTGTGACGTGCCAGCAGCAGCCAGCCCAGCCCTGCAACAGAGGAGACTCCTCCAGCTTATGCCTAGGGTTTTGCAGCAGCAGGGAAGGTAAAACAGATCCAGCATCAGACTTTACAGCTCCAGGAGACAGAAAATTAACAAAAAGCCAAAGCAAATAACAAGGTTGCAGCAGTTCCTGGAAAGAAAGAAGCAAGCTCTTGTGTTGAAATAGCTGTGTATCAAACTGCCAGAGCCCCTGGGTTATTCCTCCTCCTTCAGCAACTGCAACTTAAAATGAGACATACAGACCTCCATCCTTTTCTGCCGGCTCCTAGGTAAGGAGCAACTAGGTCCCCTCCTCCAAAAAAATCTTCCCTTGCCCAAAAAGCCTCCTGGTTGTTTACTGCAGCTATTTATACTGGTTGAGTGGCTGCTCAGCTGCAAACCCTCAGGGTCATCACTGACACACCTGCTTGAACTGGGCCCTGATAGGGGCAGCTGGTTCCCCACTGCAGAGCTGAAGGGGGGATGTTGCTCTGGGGGCCTCAAAACTGATTTTCTTCCTTGTTCTTCTTTTTAGTGGGTTTAGTAGTGGGGTCTGTTCCATGCCCTTAGAGTCTCAAAAGGTGATTTTTGCCAAGGGTCTCTAATTCTCCTCTGATATGATAGACGAATCTGAGCTTTATGTGCATTGATTTCTACCTCTGTAGATGAAAAAATTGTAACACACAAGCTAAATTAAGTGTTTTTGTGTCGTTCTTTGCATGACCTTAGTCAGAGATCTCTTAATTCCTTTCTATTATGATAGAAAAGTCTGAGCTTTGTTTGCAACAAGCTCTGCTTTTGCAGATGAAAATCATAATATGTATGTTATGCTAGGTATTGTGCAAAAGTATACAAATAGGGTCTATGAGGTGAATTTATAAACCCCACCCCCGATGTGCCTCTAGACTACAGCCCTAATTAACACCAAATGCAGCAACACTCAGTTTCATGTGGGTGAACATACTTCGTTAGAAAGCGGGCTGAGGTCTAACAAACTAATTTCACAGAGGTCATTAAAAATACTGTATCAGCGCAGCAAAGCAGCCTGTAAAAAATATATTATTGTAATAGTATAATAAAGTGAAGCTGGCTTCTTGAAGCTAGAATTTACAGACCGATGGCTCTTTTCTCCTGACAGTAGGGGTAGGAAATAACAGCTGGGTTCAGCAGTGCTTTTAATTCAAGGCTTCAAGCATAGTCACTTAGAACAGTAAGAATGCATATGAAGTATTACTGGATAAGTCCAGCCTCATGTCAAATATTCACACCAACAGAAGTTATGGCAAATTTCCCATGTAGTTAAAGGCTGATTAGGACTGGAGTATGCTTGCTGGGCAGTAGTATGAGAAATACACTCATACTACTGCTACTCATACACCCCCTACTTCTCCTTACTAACAGCAAGGTCTGAGCATGGGGAAATCCCTCTCCCTTGCAGTGGTATTAGGTGTATGTTAGGGATCTGCAGGTCTTTGGAAATTCATCCTCAGGGTTGAAATACAATTCTTAGGTATATAGAAGCAGTAAACCACTCGTGTATGCAGAGGATGGATTCTGGCATATGAGGACTATAGACAGGAGTAATCTCAGGTGCTTGACACTAGAAGGATTTGGCATCTCCTAGTTTAAAGCACCTAACAAGCGCTTAAGCTGGGAGCTCTATCCTCTAGACTCAAAGCAGTGATTTAGTGGGGATAAAAAGACTTCTTCAAAACACAGTTAAAAGCAGGTTCTAAACATGGTGTCTGTGATAAAGCAGTAAGAACACCTTGTTCTCCCTTTCTCTGATAGGCAGACACTGAGGCAGGTACATCTCAAACAGAGAAAAACGATCATCATAATCCCAGCTAAAGGAGCTGGCACTCTGAGCCTGGAAAGACATCACTGATTCTACTGAATACACAAGCTGCAGTATCTATTTATAGAAGGTGAAATGTAAAGCTAATTCTAGTTTGGCATATTTAAGCTAGATCTTATTCAGTGTTTGAACTTGGGGAGTAGAAGAGAAATACTGGGTGAATACTAGATCACTAGAAATTAATAGACTAAATTCCCACTGATTTCAATGGGATCTGGGTTTCTTGGTGAGGTTTGAATTCTGAACTTTGATTCAGAGAGGATTTTCTGCTATCCCTGTTGGCTCACAGCTCACAACCATGTGATCCCAACCATCTGTTTGGTAAACTTTCCGATTTAAGCCTGAAGTACTTGAATTCCATCAGCCTCGTCCTCTTGGGAAAAGCAAAAAGTAGCATTGGTACTGTCAAATTATTTGTTTATTTTCTCTCAGTGTGTCCCAGAAACTTGGTTTGGGAGGGGAGATCCCTCTGTTATCACCCCTAGAGCTTCCAACATGGCAAAATATCAGGGGGTAAAAATGGGTTACTCCAATCTAAATGTTATTACTTGTTCTTTACCTGAGGAACGTAAACTATTTAGATCTTATGAAAATGCTAAAAGATGCCTGGGAATTTCCCCACCAGTCTGAGGCTGTCTGACACTCTGGTGTGAGATCTCTCCTCCAAGATCTCTTTATTCCACAGGAACGCTACTTGCAGTGGGAGGCAAACTCTATGTAAAGCTAAATATTAGAAAATATTAGCAAATACAAAAAAGAAAAGATTAATAACAGCAAGTACCCTGAAGAGAAGGATGGAGACAGAAGGGACCTGAGCTGTGGGTGCTGCTGATCACCTTCCATCTCAGCCTGGGCTCCTTTGAGATGCTGCAAGTTGGACAGCCAGAAACAGATGCTTCTTCAATTGCCGGTTGTTTTCAAAATCCTTTTCTTCACAAAGGATCCTGCTGGTCAAATTTTGCTATCAAAGACATCTTTTACACGCTGATAATCTTCAGATTCTGCCTTTAGATGTTTTTGTGCAATCTCAGTCCTCAGATGTTCCTATTACTGGCAACCGGGCAGGCACACTGTATTAAAATAAAATACTTGATATTCCTGTTGATGATGCATAGCCAGAATGAATCTGGATAGCGCTAAAGTGAAAAACAATAGAGATAAGCAACAAAACACTCACTCTTATGACTAAATTGAGCAACTATGGTTGAATACACAAAGGGAATGGCTCTGTGGTGGTTGAACACGCTAACATCTCTCTTTTTCAGAGCCCAGGCTTGCTAATCAGGCCGGTGAAAGCTATTGTATTAGAAACTTAGCAACAAAAGGTTGTGTGCGGAGGAAGGAAATGGTGTACTTGTGCAGTTATGTATTTCTAAGGGTTTATCAAATCGGCAGAAAGATCAAGCTATCTCTCAGGACCACCGTGTGTCTGCAAAAATACAGGAAGTGCCTTTGCCTGACCTTTATACACAATCAGAAGATTCCTTGGCAGTGCTTGTTTTTGCAGCCTCTTACTCCATCTCAGGAATGCTTTGGAGCCCTGGCTTTCCCTGGGGCTCGGGGATAGGTGAGAAACATGAGCAGGCAGGCTGGTAATACATACAGCAAGGCACGTATACGTTCTGTCAATGCCTTCTGGAGTACCCTGAAGAGCAAGCAGACAGAGATGTGTTAGGTCAGGCCTGGCGCTCGCAGGGAGGCTGCGTGTCCCGGCACTGGGCTGGGGCACCGGGCTGCTCCCAGCTCCGCCGCCGGCCCCGTGCGCAGCACGGCACCGCCGCGAGCTTGGGCTGCGCTCCCGCTCGCTGCCTCCACGGGCAAAAGCTGGAGCCCGGGGTTCTGACTGAGGCACAGCAAGGACTAAACTAAGGCTGATAAACAAGGGCTCCAGAGACACAAATCTGCTGGAATAAGAGGTTGATATTGTTTTACAGTGATAAGGATTGATTGCCGCTACTGTGGAGCTGCTCTCTTTTCCTTTTTAACTAAACGTAATTTAGAGGCAACGTTCGTGCTTTATCTGCAGGTATGAGAGGGGAGGGAGAGAGTGGGACAATATGATGCCTTAGAGAAGAAAACCACCATTTATTTTGTCACATTTTTTTACATCTTCCTCTTCATACAACAGTTTCATTGTAACACTTAATACATTTTTTAAAAAACACCGATAGCTTGCAAAATTATATATATTTTAATATCCAAAAGTACATTGCATATATATAGTAGCAAAAGCCCCATTTCCATGGGTAATTTCTTCATACTTAAATTTTGCGATTATTGCAGTAATGTTACTTATAAACATCCCGAAAGCACTAAGACCTAAACTGATTAGCTTGATCTTATTTCTCCATTTTGTTAAATAATGGCATCAGTGCTTCTGTTTAAAGTTATGAGTTAAAGTTATAATGTTCTGGTTTCAGGCTCTCATCCTGCAATCGGATGCACATGGACCAAATCCTGCACCCACACAGAGTCCCAGAGGTTGTGTCTAGACTAGATATTTGTGATCCTGTTAATTGGTTGCCAGTTAATACAAGTTAGCTAATAGGTTGTACATGTAAGTCTCACCCCCCCTATAGACATCTGTTCTAAAACACAAATGCTTGTGGTTTACCCTTCTGTTTATGGCACCAAACCACCATTTGTGGATCATCAAATTAACATGTGCAAAATTAGAGATGGCTGAGAATATTTGAATGTTTAAAATTTAAATGAAAACTCCTAGTGAAAATTTTTGAAAAGATGTTATGAGAAATATTTGATAATTTTATCTGTGAAGTGGTTAAGATCATTCTGAAGGTCAAGATTTTGGTGAAAAACAATCCCAAATATTTAAATAGTTGCTTTAAAATGCTGGTACATGTTTTCAATCAGCTTTCATGCAAACATGTTAGCTAAATGGAGTTAATTTGCAGACAGCTATGACAGGCTAGTACAAGAAAAAACTCTACTCTAGACAAACCCAGGGAAATCTGAAAGGTTTCTGGCTACTTTGGGGGGCCAATTATGGATCCAATTGCAGGACCAAGGCTATCTCCAACAGATACATTACTCATGTCTTATTTTTTATTTTTTTTTTTTAGCCAAAAGTACAAAGCTACAGCCCAAATGTACAGATTGAAAAGATGTACAAATTACATTAAAAACAAAAACAAAAAAACAACCCACAAACAACTGAGCTGATAGTAAAAAACAAACCTGCATTTGTGACCGAGGTCAACTCGTTTCATTTAATCTTTCTTTTAAAACTGTGAGATATAGGGAAAAATAACTCTGCATAACTTATACAGTAATTTGCCTTCTGATTTGTTGACCCTTTGGATGACGGTCTGACAAACGCACAGCGTTCGCGAATCGGTAGCATTTAGCAATCCCTAAGACTCTGGCAGAGCTCAGGGGCCTGCTGTCATTTATTTTACTTCACTTTTGCTTTCAAGGAATGTCCATGCTTGACATTAGGTTACTTTTTGCTCTGGTTTCTGATGTTTCTGGAGTTAATACACAGTCTAATGAAGTTGTACACTCTAGAAAAGTTCCTTCAATGCCCTTTACTTCTTAAAATATACATGTACATATATATATATATTTGAATATATATATATATATATTTAATTTCCAGTTGGGTGAAAATCCTCATCTGCCTTAAAGCTAAGATTCCAGTTGCAGTCCCCTGCAGCCCAGTGTCCTCCACTTAATGGTCAAATTGCCTACCCTCTCCACAGTGAGAAAAAAACCCATGTAGTCATCTTTTCCTACGACCCACAGTTGGATCTATGTCTTGTCAAAAGCCTTTGATTTCTTAAAAATTTCTCTCATCAAAAAGCTAATAATCATTCCACGTAATGGTGAGCAATCCTCATAGTCAATTCCTACAGAGGACATAAGCATTGAAACCCAAAGAAAATGCAGAGTACTGGCCCAAAGAAGCATCCATCTCTCAGTTCAAGACACAAGAGGCAAAGTTACAAAAGTAAAAGATTTGATCCAGGAATAACCAATATCCAGTTTTAATTCTTCCCCAGAAAGGCCACAATTATCCATTAAGGGTCCCCCAAAAAAACATAAAAATCCTAGAAGTAAAGAAAAAGTCCAACCAGACTGATAAAGGCCACTTGAAGATAAAAGCATCTAGTAATAGCTGCCCAAATGTGGTGATACATGGGCGTTGGGATGGCGAGGGACGTTGGGGTTTGGATAAATGCTTCCTGCAGGGGAGGTCCAATAAGGTGAGGCTGCTCCAAAGAAACTGGATGATGTGACAGGCATAGAAGAAGGGTGTGGGGGTACAAAGTTCACCTTCTGCTGATGGGCATGGTAAGACGGCATGTAGGAGAGATCTGATGGGTACTTGTACATTGGCGATTCAGTGGGATGAGGCTGAAGAGCCTGGGCAATGCCATGAAAGTCAAATTTGTAGGCATATCTTTTGCCATGCACTTTGGTCATAATGTTCTTATCATAGTAGTATCGGAGGGCCCGGCTCAGCTTGTCGTAATTCATGTTGGGCTTGCTTTTGCGTTCTCCCCAGCGCCGTGCCACTTCATCAGGGTCCGTCATCTTGAATTCCCCATTGGTCCCTTCCCACGTGATACAGCTGGCGTTGGAACTGTCCGACAGCAACTCGAGGAGGAACTGCCACAGTTGGATCTGCCCGCTCCCTGCGAGAAGCAAGCCAAGGAAGAAAGGAAATGACATTGTGTTTCCTGCTTAAAAGCAAAGACAAAGGCAGGAAACAGAAGGACTATCTCGATCTTTACTGGGAACTGCTCCTTCAAGCCTTAGAAGGTGTTACGTAGGAATGGATAAACTGTTCCCAGCAAACAAGTTAGTCAACCCTTTGTTCTGTTCATGAGTTTGAGGTCAGATTAGATTTCATAATGGTTGCCTTTGGCCTTAAAATCTTCGGGCTATTCATAAACAGGCTTTTTCCCAAGCATAGGGTTCAGCAAAATTTTTCACTGAATAGTTAACAGAGTATGTTTCAACTCTCGGATGCTTACTGTTTACCATGGATATTGCTTTGGTTACCAACAGTTTTCTTTCCAGCTGGTGATCTGAGTTACATAAGATTATTTCTTCCTCAGACTAGATGACTCCTGGTTTTATTCGGTGTGGTTATACTAATAGTAAAGAGCCTTATGAGGATGTTTCCTTACAAGCATTCAATGTATACAAGTTTGTTTAGTTCAAGACAGATTTACTCCAGGTCTCATCCCCCAAAGTCAGGGATTGTTTTCTGCAGATGACACGCTAGGGACAGCTATTATGTGGTGACTTTCAGAGATGGTTTGTGCCTTCCATTCAGCTAATCTGTAGCAGACAGTGAAAAACTAACCTGTACTGCAAATCAGAGAGGCCAGCATTTAAGTCCCCTGTAAAACTCTTCTTATTTTGGGTAAGAACATTCAGGATGGTGATTTTTGTCCTGACAAAGATGATGTTGTATCACTTTCCCCACTTTTCTGGAAGGATTTTTGCAAAAGCACTTGTGAGAGCACAGCTACTAAGGTCAATGGCTCTCACAGCCTACACGAATAGTAGAGGATGAGCAGTAGATCAGAAGCAAAGCTAACCCCTTTGGTAATGGTGATCTGAAATTTAAAGATGAACTCACCTGGATTGGCAAGACGGCTACTAGTGGGCCCCAGGATTTGATAGGGATCTAAAAAAAACAACAACCCAGCAAGAGCTATTTTGAAAAATGTTTCATCAAAAAGAAAAAAACAGTTCACTAATGTTTATTCTAGGAACCAGTTCAAATTTTCGTTTTCTTTCTTTACTCTTACTGCCTCTTCTCCTAGGGCCTGGAACAGACCTGGTATGCTCCTTATTTCTTTCTTAGCAACCACCCACTAATTTTTTATGCAATCCAAAACAGCACAGTGTTTCTGGCATTGGTTTCAGACTTGCCTGCTTTCAAAGTCTGTAGTCAGTTTGAATGTACTGTACACTTATGTGTCAACTAGAAAACATGAAACATGAAAAAAAGAAATGTGGGATAGTAGAACAGTAACAAATCAGGAGCATATATATTTCTCCTAATAAAAAGAGCTGGACAGCAGATGAGATTTTCAAATTCACTTGTTAGCAGTTGAGCTCGCTTCCCTCTGAGGTCAATGAAATGTTCACCCAATTCTCCCTTACTGAAGCAAACAGAGCATTAGACAAATGAGAGTAACAGGAGTTTTGTCACTGGCTCCAATGAGGCTGAGTGTTTCCTGAAAACCCCACAATGCATTTATTAGGAATGAATTCTTTCCCTTTTTGTGGGGCCTCCTCATCCCTAATCTCTACACTTCTCCTTCGCTTCTCTGGTTTTGGTGATTTGGATCTATAGCATTTAGTCGTGGATTGAATCAATGCCAAAAGAACCAACCCCCTAAAAAAAAAAAAAAAAAAAAAAAGGGAAAGGGATAGAAAGCAGCTGTGCAAAGCAGAGAAGGTGGTATTTAGCTTTTCAAAGGCCCCTTGGGAAACGAGCAGGAAACACTACTGCTTGCTGCCCCACAGGGTTTGCTTTTCTTATTTGGTTTTCTTTGACGCAGGGGAAGCCCTGTGGATTCTGTTTGGCGATACTTCCACCGAACATCACTGCAGCAGAGGTGAAGAGGTAACGAACAGACGCTCCACCGCTGCAGCATCAACAGCTCCGTGCCCCTAACTGCTTCACGACCTGCTGCACGGCATGTCGTGATGCTTCAGAGGAGATGCAGCTGATGCTAGGCACTGCACGCAGCTCAGCTGAGACAAGGATGTTTCTTTTGAATGGGGAAGGACAATGCAGTAAAATAGAAACAGTTTGCAACAACTGCTGTCACTGCTCTGTCACAGTTGACTCATTATTCTGAGACTTCCCTGTAAGGGTCTGCCTGTTTGTCCTGTGCCCACGGTTGGTGCTGCCTGACACATTTATTCACCCAATGTAGTACAAATCTAACTAATTAGCAGATGCAGCGGGGATGAAATCAACAGTTACCTGGCTGGGGCCGTTGCTGTTCTGTTGTCTTATTCACATTTTGTGTCCCTGCAACAGGAGGGCCTGTAAAGACAGAGAAGTATCTTATATGTACCAGAACAGAGAGGAGGAATGAACAGAGAACAAGGCAAGTACAAGATACGTTGAACCACAATAATAGCGACTGCAATGGGAAAAGTTTTCTAAACTTAAGGGCTGATATTTTTGAAATTGTACTATAAAAAGAAAAAATTTCACTGGAAATGTAAAAATTCACTGTAAAATGAAAATATGAAGATGAGGCAAGAAAAAAATAGCATGTAGATACTTCATTATTTTTCTGTCCTTTATTGCAACTTAACTTCCACTCTAGTTTACATCCATGTTTTGAACAGAAAAGTGGATTTTCTGAAATGTATAAATTCTGACCTTCTTCCACGTTGGAACTCTTTTCAATGTGTTTTAGAAATGCAAATTCTTTTTTAAAGCAACCTTTTTATGCAAAAACTTTGGGGTTTATCAAATCAAACATTTTGTTGAAAATATCACGGCCATTTCTATAAATCACATCAACGCTAGCATCTGTTCTTCCTCTTCATATCATTTCTCGTAACAGAAAACAATAACTCAGATAGATAGTCTTCACATTTAGAGTGCACATAGCTCAGAAAGCTGCAAAGCAAAGGAAATATAATCTGTCAGCCAGGTTCTGCCACATTTATTTGTACCCAGTAGTATCTTGTTGAGAGTCAGACGTGTCCATCTTGCACTGCTGCACGGGGATATGCCCCAGCAGTGGAAGCAGGGGAGGGTGAGGCTCGGTATCAGCTGGTTCTGGTAGCTAGAATACAGTCGTTAGGGCCAAGGAAGGCAAATTTCTAACGAGACGTCACCCAGAGTGTACTGTGAATTCAAGGACACTCTAAACCCAGTAAGAAATAAGAAGAGTTGTGTGAGTAGGGCTCGTGCAGCAGGGGCCCTATCTGCCTGCCAGACTTTGTGTAGAATCTTACTTTCTGAAAAGTAGTAAGAAACTCTCAGAATCTGCCCAAGCTGTCTATATCTGTCCCTAAAAAAATTACACTGGGCTGCAGGCAGGTGGTTAACATAGAGCCTGTGTTTGTACGGAGGATCTGCTCCTGGCCCCTTAATCAAATCCTGAAAGTAACAGAGGTTCATGCTGTCATCTTCAGTACGCAATTCAATAATAAAAAATATTTGTGTCAATTTCTGTTTCTTTTCATAACATAATTCTAGCTCTTATCTTACTATCCCCAAATCTTCCGCCCTTCTGATACTCTTAATACAAGCCAGCCATGCCCGTATTCTCCCACAGTCTCATTTTGATCTTTCATTGTAGAATTTGTGACTCCCATTGGGACAACTTACTTTTGGTGAGGCCAGAATTCGTATTACTGCCCCATCCTGTTCTCCTGACTGCATCATAGGAAGGATCTAATGACAAAAGACAACAGGCACAAAAGGGATTGAAATCAACTCTTCCCAGGAAAAACTTGCAAGAATCTAACTTTGTATCTTGTTCCAACTGGCTTGGTATTATGCAGATCTATGTTTCCTCTCCCATGTCTCCTGTGCTCCCTCAGCCCTCTCATGAAGGCAACAGGGTGTAAATACAGCGGTTGGGACCAGTTGCTTGGGCTGTGCTCAAGCCTGACACGTTCTGATCACGTGAAGTTCAGAGTGCGACTCATCCCACCCAAAGGAGCCCCTCTTTCTCTCATCCCAAGATGACAGAAGACCACGGGCAGGAAAGGAGGATGAGATGAACCCTTTTGTTATTTCACAGAAAATGAATGGTGACTTTAAAACTCAGGGAGGCCAAGGACTTGACAGGCACAGTAAGGAAGCTATTTTAAGGAGGGGGAAGAGGTGAAAAAGCATCCTCTCAAGTGAAATTCAGAAAGCCCCTCTGACCATGCAGCTGGAAAGGAGTGAGCACTGCCTCGTGCCCCGTTGGGCTGCACAGCGCAGCGGGGCTGCGCAGCTCCCTGTGGAAACATCCCAGGCACTTGCACATTCCTCCCGGCGCTGGGAAAGCCGCTGCAGCTTTGAAATTACAGCCTTCTAGTTATTGGCATGAAAAGGAAAACAGAGAAGGGAATGGGAGAGGGGAGGGGAGGGGAAGCGAGGGAGAGAAAGAGGAGGAGGGAAGAGAGGGGAATGGAGGAAAACAGAGCTCATGTAATCTGCCTGGTTTTATTTTTATTTTACTTATTTGTTTTTTCCCTTTTTACTAGAAACCGCAAACCCCACTGCAAATAGGTCAGACTGAAAAACAAACCGCCAGGGTTTCAGCCTGGTACAAAGAGTATGACAGGACATCTCTGGAAGAGGGAGGGGGCAGCCCCAGCCATGCTGTCCCCAGACGGGAGCCCTGTCCCCGCTCCCGTGGCCGGGCAAGGAGCAGCAGGGCTGGAAACGGGCTTGCAGCCTGGTGCTGCTGGGGAACTTTATCCCCAAGCTCAGTCCTCAGCAGTTGTCATTGTTGTAAATAAGATGCTACTTGCACCGGTGGAATTTTCCTTGCTGGAAACCCGTTGTGCAAACCCTAACTTTATCCGAGTGCACCCGGAGCTTGGGCTGCTGCTCTATCAGTGACTGAAATCAGGAGAGCAGAGATGAGGTCTGAAGTAATCACTGGCTTTTCCCATGTCCTCTTTGCAGCCAGTCTCTGACTTTCATTTCTCCCCTGAGATACCCGTCAGAAGTATTACAACTAGAGCTATTAGAGCAATCTTTTGGGAAATATTTTGAAAAAAACAGAAGAGTTCTCCATTGAGAGAGAAAGGCAAAACCTCTGAAATTTCCACCAATCAAGATGCTAATGTACATTTTGCTTAGCTCAATCAGAAACAGTTTTACCATTATGTAATTTTAATGGAAATCTCACTTACATGATGATCCTGTTAAAAAGAAAGGTAGCAATTACTTTTCCAACAGAAAAATTCTTTTCAAATTGGGGAAAAGATTCCTTTTCAAAAAGTAGCAGAAGTCAGTGAAAATTTTCAATTTTCTCTGATGGTTTTGGGTCAAATGATTGACCAGAGTGAATCAACTGCTACAAATGGGTCAGTTGATTCAGATGCAGCAACATGTTTTGATCAAATAAATAGGCCATCATCTGGATAGAAGATCCTCCTCCTCCTCCAGATGGAGAAACTTTGATGCTGAGGAGGAGTCTGCTTTGCTCACAGTGTCCCAGGAGTGTCAAATGCATCTCCTGAGGGGTTTTTTAACCAATAAGTGACACTATTACAATCAGATGTGCTGACTGGGCATGTATTGCTATGGCTGCTTGGGCTTTACAGGATCAAAGCTTGGTTCACCAGGTAAGTTTGGCAAAGTCTGGTCAAAATCATCCTTCAATACCTCTCTGAATGGGTTTCCTTGGAGTGTTTGTTTTAGGTTGCAAAACATCAGCTTGGAAGGAGGGTGTGCATGTGACTCAGCCCAGGTTGAATCCAGATTTAGTGTCTCTTTGCCTCAGTTTTCCCTATATAGTATGGATTATGGAGTAAATTGTAGACATATATAGGGGCAGCCACACTTACGTTGTTAGGATGAGATTTAGCTCTGACTGTGACTTTGCAATGGTAAGAAGGATTAAATATGATCGTTAGCAATACAGGCGTTGCTATTGAAACAATGTGTTCACTCAGCTTGTGCAAGTTTCCAACTCTTTCTCTCCCTCTCAAAAAAAAAAAAAATCCAAATCCACTAAGCTATTTTTGTTTTGTTTTCACAAAAATCCGTGCAACGTGAAAGAACCACACCAGCCCTCCCAGCTTCCAGGCCCAGACTCTAAAGCTGAACGTGTTTAAAGCAAAATGGAAAAGGCAGAGCCAGGGAACTTATCCAGAGACTCGAGTTTCTGCAAAAACAATATCGTTCCCAGGACCTGACGCCCAGTGGCTCGAAGAGATCCTACAGAACGCCAGCCAGACGGTTAGTTACACAGGGAGAGTCTTATCTGTCATTAAAACCACTTGGATTTTACACCAAAACTTGCCATGCTATGGAAATTCAATTAAAAAACTTGGACTGAAGTCCTCTTCTGGTGTAAATCAGCAAATAGTGACAGTGAAGTTAGGGGCAAATTTATACCAGCTAAGGATCAGGTCTCCAAGTCTGTTTTAGACTTAAAAGGCCCAGTGGAACAACAGTCCTATGACAAATGTGTGTTCAATACAAAATGGAATTAAAGAGCAGAAAATAAATCATAGATGCTTTCAAGAAATGTCATTCTGCAGCTGTCTGGTTTATGTCCAGAAATTCCCCAGAATGAATGCATACTCTATTATGAGTAAGGTAAAGGATATTAATAATGCTTTGCACTTTCACAGCACCTTTCAACTAAGGATCTCACAGCTTTGCAAACATTCACACTCTTAGCACGCCTGGGAAGAAGGTTAAATATAATTTTATTTATTTACATGCATAAATGCACGTTCCTCGGGCTTTAGCTGCCTTTTCCAGATGAAGTGGCTTTCTCAGAAATCAGGCTGTGTGGAACTGACTGCGTAGCTTTGGTCTCTGCACCCTTTGTAACCTTGGTCTATACCTGCTCACCTCATCTCCCTTGGCTCCTACCTCCCCACCCTCTGTGCCATTTGGAAGTTCTCATCCTCTGCTGTGCAACTCTCCTTTCAAAGTCTATTGATTCCTCTGGAATTAGATGTAAATCAGAATTGACACAGTAGTTAAACAGCCTGATGAGGCTGAGAAAAGGCTTAGAACATGACAAAATAGGCAAGATCAAGACTGGGCATTAGGCCGGCTGTCCTGTAAAGTTCAAGAGATGAGCTAAATTATCCAAACCTCTGCAGCTGCTCCGTGTCAGACTGTCTGGAGCAGCAAAGGAAGGACTCGATGGGGGAACGAAACAGAGGAACGTGTCCTGGATGAGACTGTGGACATGGAGGAGGAAAGCAGCTGCCCAATGTGCTGTGCAAGTGTGGGAGGAATGGCATGGCAGTCGGGAAGATAAGGCAGGCTCCACTGATCCACCAGCCCACCTTTACAGACATCGCCCTCCCATCTCACAGCCTGATGCTACTTTGCTTCTGTTCCCCATAACCTCTGGATCATATAGTAGTCTGAACAGACCAATAGGCTCACATATTGCCGTGGGCTAGGGGCAGATGGGCAGACACGCACAGACTCATTTCTCTAGGAAACCAGGCTTAAAATCCCCAAGCAGGTTTCCACACCACAGCAAAGACCATCCCAGGTGCCTAGGATTCCTTTCAGCTTGAACACGGTCCAATGAACAAGCCACTAGGGAATCTGTGTTTAAGATATGATGTATTAGAGAGCAAACCCTCTTTGATAAGCTTTAAAAAGTTCTTTTTTTTTTTTTTTTTAAAAAATGGTGTTTTATAAATCTGAGAGCTTGGGACAGAGAGGAGAAGCAAGGGGGTTTGACTGAACAATAGGCTCACAGTCCCTGTGCTTCCTGAGCTGCCCAGTGAGTGCTGACAGCCCTTCATCCTGCTCTCTCTGTACGAGCTTTTTCCGTCAAACCAGATTTAGGCACAGTTTTGTGCTACCAGCCTTGATAAGGCTTTCCAGGAGAACAGTGGGCACTGGGACTGTAATATCCTAATTTTTCAGGCCTTTTTCTTCTAGGATGGATACAGTAGGGCCAGGCCATTTATGGACTAAATGCTTTATAGGCACTATAGGGGAATCTTACCTGAAATGCCATCTATGCTGGCATAGAGCCGTTAATTGCAAGCAAGGCTGGGAAGGAATAGCATGGCATATTTATCGTATTCATGGCATCACTGGCAGCAGTGGCTTTTTTCCAGGCAGGCACTGTCTGCTTTGTGAACTGCTGGAGCTTGCTCTCAAGGTGCAGCGTGACTGCTCTGAACCTTAGCTCCCTCTGTCAGACCCGTGGGCAGTGTCGTGCCTGGGTTAACACAGTAGCCTTGGGACTGCGTGTCTGAATTGAACAGAGTCCTAAACTGTAATACTATACGTAACACAGAAGCATCCAAACGCTGAGCTGTGCCTGAGCAAATGCTGTCCCCATCACACTTCCCTTGGCAGGAGCCCCATCGCAGAGCTGAGCGTGGCTTGAAACCTCTCAAGAAGCTTTCATCCCCTGAGACAGGATTTCTTCCTCGAGTCAGCTTTAGTGGAAGATGTTTGGAGCAACATGTGCAGCAAACTTGTGGAGGCACCTAGATTTCCCAGCATGGTGGTGCTAAGCAATAGGAAGAGCCCACCAATCTCTGATACCTCCAATGAAATTAGGCAGCCGGAGGATGGAAAGTGGCTTGTTCTAAGTCATGGGGACAGAGCCAGGAAGAAAATAAGGGTACATTTCCCAAGTCTCAGTGAATTGACTGACCACTTACTAACACTGCCTCCATTTCCCTTTGAAGCTTCTGACCAAGACTGTCTTGCTGACTCAGATGAACAATAAC